ATGATTGGTTTTTCCACATCCCTAAAGAATGTTGATGGGATCTGGATTGGGATTGCATTGAATGTATAGATTGCTTTGGGTAGAACTGATATTTTCACAATGTTCAGTCTTCCTTGATATATTCTTTTGATGATGGTTGTGATGCCATTCTTCTCAATTTTTCATTCCCAGCATAGTAGAGTATATGATTGTCTGATTCAAAATGGCTAATACCATTTCATTTCAGCTCACTAACGCATAGGATATTGATCTTTTTGTGTTCCATTTCACTGTTGACAACTTATAGTTTTCCTGGATTCATACTTCATATGGTCTATGTTCTAATAATTAGTGGATATTCACATCTGTGTGTTTTTAAGTTGTGCCACATCAATAAACGAAGGTTCCAATAGCTTTATTCTACCCATGTCATTAAGGTCGACTCTTTTAGGAGGCAGCTCTTCCCGAGTTGTATTTTGAGTGCCTTCCAATGTGAGGGACTCATTTTCTAGTACTATATCAGACAATGTTTCACTGGCATTCATAAGGTTTTCTGGCCCTCTCAAATAATCTTTCACTGCTATTCATAAAGTGTTAGGTGACCAGTTTATCCAGAAGTGGAATGTAGTGTTTTTCTTCCTAGTCTGTCCTAGTCTGAAAGTTCTGCTGATACTTGTCCACCATAGATGACCCTCCTGGTAACTGAAATACCAGTGTCATAGCTTCCAGCATCATAGCAACATGCAAGCCACCACAGTATGACAAATTGACAGAAGTGTGGTGGGTATCAGTGTAGGGTGTGTTTTAAGTCAATCATCTTTAAGATAGAAAAAGAGTAGATTAGGCACAGAGAAGTAAGCAGAGATGGGGGAAGATGGATGCCACAGTGTATGAAGATCATCAGGGCACTGAGGAACAGAAATTGAAAAGAGACAAAAACCAGGGCAGATAGAGCATGCCTTCCCATAGAGCCTGCACTTGAATTTGGAGTTCTAGTCTCCTGAACTGTGAGAAAATAAGTTTCTTTTTGTTAAATTTACCCACTTATCGTATTTGTTATGGAAGCAGTAGATAACTAATACAGTCCTCTTCACTGACTATTCATGATCTGGCAAGGCATTATTGGTAGCAGTAATTATTTCTCTTTAAAGTCGAAATCATTACTTTTAGGGATTATAAATCAGAGCACAGTTTTCCTAACTTGCGAGCATTTTTTTTTTTAAATGTTGAACCTGGATAAATGATGTTTAACTTTAGTATAAATTCTAAAACAGTGGTTCTCAAAGTGTAGGCAGCTTCACCGTCATCTGGGGACTTACTCCTCCAAAAAACCAGACTCTCTGCCGTAGCGTCAATGCTGACGCATAGGACAGAGTAGAACTGCCCCATAGGGTTTCTAGGGCTGTGAATCTTTATGGAAGCAGACCGCCTTACCTTTCTCCCACAGAGCAGCTGATAGGTTAGAATCACTGACTTATCAGTTAGTACTTTACCACTACACCACCAGTGTTCCTGTGAAATTTATTAGAAATGTAAATTCTCAGGCCCTTACCCAGACCTACTGATTGAGAATCTCTAGTCAGCAGCCTGCTACCTGATTCTAGTGCTCACTCCTGTTTGAGAATCACTGCTCTGAAAGATCTAGACTCATGGGTTGTCCCTGCTGATTTCTCCCTACTTCATAATCTATCTGAGATAGTTTCTTCATGTCTACAGCATGTCTTATTTTCATCTCACCCTGTTTTTTCCATCACTCCCTGCAATTTCTTTCTCCTCTCCTCTCCCCCTCTTTTTCTTTTTCCTTTTCCTCACCATTTGGAAGCATTGTTTATTATTGTTATTTTCACAAGGCGATAGGGTTAAAATTTGGATGAAACAGATAGCATGACAAATAGCATTATGTGTAAAGGTGGTGTTTTTATCATTTTTGAATTAATTTGAGTGTATGTGTGATTAATTTCTTATTCTTTTCCATCTATACTCACCCAGTTCCAAATTCTTCAATTTCGAAATTGCTTTCCATCAACTAAAATTTCAAAATGTACATTTCAAAGTATGAATCACCTAGAGTCAATAATTGTTGAATTTTGTTGTAATTGCTTTGTCTTTCTTTTCTGCACATTCACACATGCATATATATGTACATGCACACACATACATTCTTGCTACTGAACCATTTTTACATAAGTTGCATATATCAGAACCCTTCATTCATAAAAAGTTTAATCTTAAGAATAAAGATCAGAGTAGTTTTTAATGGGACTAGAACAAAACTGTTTTGAGAGGCCACTCATATAAAAAACTAAACCAATTATTAAAGACTCTTTAGTAATTTCAGAGTTACTTGTGTAAATATCTTAATGAGGAAAAGGTACAAAACTTTGTGAGTGTGAAAATGAATTCTCCAGCCGTTTTCAACAGTTTCTCATTTGAACTACAGAATAAAAGATGATTTGAGTGACTGTTTTCTCAATTTTCCCGAGGATGCATAGTGTTAAGGTTAGCTTATATATTCAGTGGTTACCTTGGGGTATTGCCAAACCAAACCCTGTGCCATTGAGTTGATTCCAACTTACAGTGACCCTGTAGAACAGAGTGCAAGGTGCTCAGGTAGTGTAGTGGTTAAAGTATTGCCCTGCTAGCCAAAAGGTCAGCACTTTGAGCCTCCTGCTTCCATAAAGACTTAGAGCCTTGCAAGCCCTATGGGACAGTTCTCCTTTGTCTTAAAGGGTCACTATGAGTCAGAGTTGACTCACAGTTGGGATGTTACTTGGAAGTGACAGTGGCCAGACTTCATCTGACCTACTTTGGTCATGTCAGAAGAGACTATTCCCTGGAGAAGGATATCATGCTTGGTAAAGTGGAGGATCAGCAAAAAAGGGGAGGGCCCCCAACAAGATGGATGACACAGTGGCTGCAATGATAGGCTCAGGTATAGCAAGGATTGTGAGGCTGGCGCAGGACTGGGCAGTGTTTCGTTCTGTTGTATGTAGGGTCGCTATCAGTCTGAGCTGACTCGACAGCACCTAACGATGACAACAATGTAGGATAGAGTGGAACTGCCTCAGAGGGTTTCCAGGGCTGTCAATGTTTATGGAAGCAGACTGCATCATTTTTCTTCTGCAAAGTGGCTGGTGGATTTGAACTCCTGACCTTTTGGTTAACTGCTGAATTCTTTAACCTTTACACCACCAGAGTTCCTTATCTTGAAGTATTACTCAATTCACTATCATTGAGTTTTTTCTGACTCATAGTGACCCCTATAAATCTTTACCGAAGCAGACTGCCTCATGTTTAACCATGGAGCCACTGGTGGGTTTGAACCTCCAACCTTCGGGGTAGCAGTGAAATGCCTTAACCACTACACCACTAGAGCTCCTTTCTTTAAAGTATTAGAATTTAATAATTATCTTGGGAGAACCCTGTTTAGTCTGATTAGCTGTGTATAGTGGATTGAAAGTATCCCCCAATTCATGTCTACCTGGAACCTCAGAATGTGATGTTATTTGGAACCAGGGTCATAATGAATTAGGGTGGGCCCTAAATCTGCTGACTAATGACCTTAGAAGAGGAGCAGACACAGAGATTCATGTGGAGAAAAGCCTTCTGAAGGTAGAGACAGAGAGGGAAGTGATGTAGCTACAAGCCAGGGAACTCCAAGGATTGCCAGGAGCCACTCAGAGCCTGGAAGCATCCAGGAAGGATTCTCCCCTAGAGCATTCAGTGAAGCCTGGCCCTGCTGACAGCTTGATTTCAGACTTTTGAGAGAATGAATTTCTGTTGTTTTAAGCTACCCAGTTAGTGATAATTTGTTTTGACAACCTTGCAAAACTAATGCATTGTATATGTGGCAAGTTCTTAGATGGCTTGTTATGTTTATACAAATAACCCTTGTTTTTAGATTACAGGTCCTCCAGGTTGTGGGAAAACTCAGTTCTGTATTATGATGAGTGTTTTGGCTACATTACCCACCAACATGGGAGGTCTAGAAGGAGCTGTTGCCTACATTGACACAGAGTCTGCATTTAGTGCTGAAAGGTAGGAGGGTTTATTCCCATTACAATGCTTTACTTCTGTAATTTCTTTTATGTACTTCATATAACATTTTATCAATAAGTTAACATTTATCTTTTTTTTTTTTTGAGAATACAGAATGCTAGATTTTTTTTTTCAAGATGGTGTTTTTACAGAATTTTCCTTTTAAAACTGATACACAAAACAGTTTCTTTTTTATCTTCTCTATCCTTTTCTTATTGGTGTAAGATTCCAGTGTAAGCTGGATTTTGCAAAGTCAGGAAAAAGTGATGCTCAAGAAACAGAGGGAGGAATTTAAGTAGAATATGAGGAAGAAGGGAAATTAAGAAAGAAAAAGGTCTGCTGCTTTACAAGTAATTTCTTCTTGGATGTAAAATATTAGCAAATGGAAAAATTACAGATTTCTGATGTACTAAAACACTTTTTGATTGAGAAGTATTTTATTTTACTCTTTGAAGTAGTATGATATTAAGAATCACACTAATAGTAAGTACCACTCTTGGGAAGAACAGATATCCTTAGTTTGGCCGGGACCTCTAATAGTCTGTGAGAGAGATATTCAATCTTTCATATAATTCTATATACCCAACTTAGATTGTCATTTGTAAGCAGGAGTCTTATACATTTGGTAACTGATTCCATCCTGTTCTCTTAGTCAAAATATAGTCCTTTCAGTCTGTCTTTGACTTTGCCACTATGAATAATATTTCATATTTGATGGTACCAAAGAGTACCATTTAGATGAAAGATGTTACCTGGCCAGAGAAGATCCAAATGGATTATTTTACCTGGACTTAACTTTGTTTCCTACATCTCTCGATTTTCCATTTTTCAGAGTATATGCTACTTTATCTGGCAACTCATTGAGTCTGTGTTAAATCTTTATATCTTCAGTGCTAAAACCAGTGAGTTACACATACTAAGTGCTCAAAAAATGCTTGCTAAGTGAATGAATTCACAGTTGTTACTCCCAGGTTGTGGAATATAGATATGATTTCTTTCTAAAAGGTGCAACAGGGAAATGACTGATTCTAGGACTGGATCAGGACATTTTTAACTAGTCTGAAACATCCTGTCCTATCAGATGATAAGGATGGTGTTAAAGAATATTTAGGGGAGTGTCAAAAAGATGTAGAAGTCAATCTGTGGGTCTCCTGTTGGCCGAAGATGAAGCAAATTGAGTGTCAATAATAATGGCAGTAGATTAAAACACATGAAATATGCTTACATATAAGAATTTATAATGATATTAAGAAATGGAAAGCAACCAATTGGTCACCATTGGAGAATGCCAGAGAAGCAACTCATTATTTTGAAAATGTGTAAATTGAAAAAAAAAAAACAAAACAAAAAACCCATGCATTTATTCTTTGTTTTCCTAAATGAATTATATTACTGAATAATCTTTTTATAGATATCTTTTATACTTTTATAGAAGTATTCCAGTAGTAAATGAAAAAGGAGTACTAGAATACCACAAAATTACAAACCTTAACAATCTAATGGATGTAGGTACTGAATATCAAAGTCTGCTAGCATCACAAAAGCAGGAATGGTTATTGTGTACCTCCTGAAGAATCATCAGTTACTTTCAGCTCCAGCTACCAGTTTACAGCATACACCTAGAAGAAAGGAGAAGCACATTAACCTACCCCACAGAGGTGCAATCGGAAAAATCCGAACTGAAAACTGTGGAACAAATAATCTTGTTTTTCAAGAAATAAACAATAAGATTAAAAAATAAAAAAGAACAGTTGAGGAGGAAACTTTAGATTAAAAGGAAACTTAAAAGACATAATAATCAATTGCAGTGTATTGATCTCAATTGGATCTTGACTTAAACAAATGACAAAAAAGAACAGAAACAAAAACATATATGAGACTGTTAGAAATTTGAACATAGACTATATATTTAATGCTAAGCTGATAAAGACTCAAGTTGTCCAAGTGAAAAGTACTTCTTAAAATTGTAGTGATTATCCTTTAACTAACCATCAAAAACAAACCAAACCAAACTCACTACCCTAGAGTTGATTCTGACTCATAGTGACCCCCATTGGGTTTCCAAGGCTATAAATCTTCATGGAGTGGACTTCCTCATCTTTCTTCTGTGGAGCATCTGGTGGGTTCAAACCACCAACCTTTGTGGTTAACAGCCAAGTGCCTTAAGTACTATACCACCAGAGCTCCTTAGGGAACATATCAAGTAGGTGTTAATTACCCAGTTAGGTATTAAATGGCTCCGATAGGAATCCTGAGGAATTTGATAAAGAATTGAAGGATTATAGTTATTCTGATAATAGTAGTTTAGTTTCCTGTAATTGGGTTTATGCTTTCTTTGCACTCCTTAAAAAACTGAGTTTAGGATATCTTCTTAAAGAGTAAGCTATTGCATAATGCCATTGTTATCAGGATTACAGTTCAGAGCAGATTAAAAACCAATGAGTTGTTTGATATTTAGTTGTTTTAGCCTATCCAGCATAAATATAGGTGACTAATCCATACACCTACTTGTTACTTATTAACTATTTTGTTATCTTACGTTTCATATTTACAACCATAGTAAAAAAATCTACTCTCCAACCATTTTGTGCATTTAATGACATATGTCTGGCAGTAAGAAACTCAGGTGCAAGATGAGAGTAACTGTGGCTGTATTGGTTTAAGGTCTTGTGTCAACTTGGTTAGGCCATGATTGTCCGTGGTTTGGCAGTTACACAATGATGTAATTTGACAGTTATATAATGATATAATCTAGCAGTTGTGTAATGATGTAGTCGTCCCCCATTTTGTGATCTGATGTGGTCACCCTCTATTTTTACATAAGGTCAATATTTGCATAATGACCTTGTCTTTGGAACAAAACCATGTTGATAAGTGGGGAGTGGGTGTATTTTCTCATTTAATTCGTGGAGGTTACTGTTTATGTTCTTTGTTTTTGCATACGGCCTTCATTACCTACTTTTCAGATCTTCCATATCTGCTTATTTCTCTTTAATTATATTATCCTGCCTATGTGCATATTGGGAGCTCTGGCGGTCTAGTGCCTAAGGCATTTGACTGCTAACCAGAAGGCTGGTGGTTCAAACCCACCAGCTACTCCTTGGAATGTTGGGCAATCTACTTCCATAGAGATACTGCCTCAGAAACTCAAGGAGGGGTCGTTAGGAGTCAGATCCGACTAGACGGCAGTGAGTTTGGTTTGATTTATGTGCATATTAGCACTTGTATCAGAGGCAGGTAGAGAAATGTGAAGAGCTAAAATTTTGGTTACTTGGTTGCAATTATGTTGCATAATTCACAAGCAGTGCTTCTGAAGGTAATTTGAGGATAGTTGTTGAAATTTATGTTGTCTTTGCTTTTATATTCCATTCTTCATTAGGCTTGAAAAGTATGGTCATCTGGCTGCCACCTAGGGTACATTTTGAGGTCTGGTGATAGATCAGGTGGCATCAAAAGTACCAATGATCTTTTGTATAGTTGTCAGACTTGGTGTCCTTACACTGCCTTCTAGAATTTCTCATGGAGCAGTCAAGGAAAGGAGATACCTCCGTAGTGCCTGGTTACATTTCATTTGTGCTGTTTCCAGACGGCTTGACCCCTGTTTGGAGTTATTAGGGGAAGGTGGGTCTATCAGTTATGAAAGCTTTCTGTTCCAAGTAACTGACTACTCAAAGAACAACAGTTGATAAACAAAAAGAGGCTTATTTTTCTCACATTAGAAGAAGACTTGAGGTAGGCAGTTGCTGGCACTGGTTCAACTTGCTCAATAGACCTAGGACTGGCATCACATCATTCCACGCTCAAATCAGTGGGAGGGGAAAGGATCAGATATATCTATTCCTTTCATTAGGAAGGTAAAGGTTTTTCTAGAATAGCCACGTCTTCTTCCTCTCACTGGGCCACCCCTAGATGCAAGGAAGAATGGGAAAAGATAGTCATAACAATCATGATTAATTGCCTGGAGCTGCATAGTAAGGAGGAAATGGGAATGGATTTGGGTAAGCAGTTAACAGTGTCTGCTGTAACTGGGATAGTTTCTAGGTTAAAAAAGAGGTAAAACAAGACAATATGAAACTCAAAGGGGGAATATGTTTTAATTTACATTTCAAATAAAAATTAAGGTTAAAATGCATTAAAAAATGAAAGTCCTGCAGGTGTATGTCCTTAAAAGTCCTTTAGAAAGAGTAGTTACATTTTTGAAAGGAATGTACTACTAAGCTTATTGTACATCTCTTTTAGAAGATAATGATCTAAAATAGTATGTTAATCATTTTCTTTCATCATAGATTATATCTACAGGCTATTTGACAATTAGTTAATAATATGACCTGGTACTAAGCCCTCAGATACTCATATGGTTGCCTTGGGGAGAGGAGATGACTAGTAGGCAGAACTCTGGATTTCCTTCTTGTAATTGATTCAGAAAATATGTGTTTTTTAAAATTTGTTTTACTTATTGAACCTCTGCTTAAGATTATATATAGTTTTAGGCACCATGTGTTTGTAATTTGCACTATGAGAATATAAATAAAGAGATTAAACCAGTGACCTATACTCATATTCTGGACTATGAAAATTTTGGCAACCATGAGAATTTTAGTATACATGATTGAATGAATTATGTATCATCCATATTGGAGATGGTTAGAAGAAGGTAGAACTTGAGGGGTTAGGAACAGAAAAGGAAGATAATATGGATGTTTGATAGAAATAAAGGTTTTTGACATAAAGCTTTGGGAGAAATCAAATGGTGAGAGAAAATAAAGATGGATCTTAGAAGTGCGAATGGAATGGGACCAATGTGTGTGAGAAAAACTGAGGGATCTGGGGAACTCAGAGATGGTGTCAAGGACCTGGGTGTGTGGGCTCTAGCACTGGAATTTTAGGAGGTGGAAGTGGACATTTCTGGGTTATCATGAAATCAGAAAAGCTTTGAACACTTGGAAGAAAGATGTAGTCCAGCAAGAAAAGAAGACATTAATCAAATAATCATTAAAATG